GACTTTATCGCTGTTCGCGGCTGATATGTTATATCGTGCTCGCTCAATTCTATGGCCCATTTGGCCACTCTTCCCGACAATTCGGGTTTATGCAGGATGCTCCTGAGAGGGAAAGTCGTCACCGCCGATATGGGGTGACACTGAAAATATGGTCTAAGCTTTCTTAAAGCTATGACCAATGCCAGAGCCAATTTTTTCGAGGTGGGGATACCTCGTTTCGGCGCCAACTAAGGTTATGCTGATATAATAAATCGGAGATTGCGTACCTTTGTTTTCGCGGACCAAAATTGCGCTTACCGCGACTTTTGAGACGGCTAGGTAGACTAGGAGGCGTTCGTCGGGTTCTGCTTTAGCGAGTAGTGGCGGTGAGGACAAGTAGGCCTTTTGTTTTCTCAGGGCCTTGATACAATCTGAATTCCACTGGAGCCCGTCGTCTTTCTTGAGCACGTTGAAAAATTTATGGCATCTGTCGGATGACCGTGAGATGAACCTCGACAGGGCGACTATCCGGCCAATCAGTTTTTGTACCTGTTTTTTGCTGGTTAATATTTTGGGTATTCCTTCGACGGCTTTGATCTGGTCTGGATTGACCTCGATGCCTCTTTGTGATACAAAGAAACCGAGGAATTTTCCTGAGGTTACGCCGAAGACGCATTTTTCGGGATTTAGCTTCATTCCATATCGTCTTAATATGCCGAAGGCTTCTATAAGGTGGTCGATGTCGTCCTCTTTCCTTTTGGATTTGACCAGCATGTCGTCGATGTAAACTTCCATCGTTTTGCCGACTTGGTCTTTAAACATTTTGGTGACAACCTTTGATACGTGGCCCCTGCATTCTTCAGCCGGAATGGCATGACTTTGTAACAATACGTTCCCTGATGGGTGATGAAAGCAGTTTTCTCCTGGTCCTCCTCCTCCATGAGGATTTGGTTGTAACCCGAGTAGGCATCCAAAAAGCTTAGCAGTTCGTGACCTGCTGTTGCATCGATGAGTTGGTCGATATGAGGCAGGGGAAATGAGTCTTTCGGACATGCCTTGTTCAGATTTGTGAAATCTACGCACATCCGCCATTTCCCATTTTTCTGTTTTACCATGACCACATTTACGACCCATTGGGGATATTTCGATTCTCGGATAGAACCGTTGGCGAGCAGCTTATCAACTTCCACGCTGACGGCCTCGTTGATTGCGGCATTGAACTTTCTCCTTATTTTCCGCACTGGTGGATAGAGCGGGTCGACATTCAACTTATGCGTGGTGATGTCTTTCGGAATACCTGGCATATCTGAATGGGAGAAAGCAAACAGGTCGGCATTGTTAGTTAGGAATTTATGAAATATACCTGGTTCCGAGAGATTATGCCCGATATAAGCTTTCTTTGTGATGTCGCTGTTGTTTATTTGGACGGGATCTAGATCTTTTATCCTCGACTCAGCAGCTTCCACGATGTCGGGATCTTTGATAACCTCCGTCTGTACGTCAGATTTGGTTCCCGACATCGCTGATTGCTATGCTTCCGCGTTGACTCCCTTTAATTGCCAGGTGTGTGTGCAATCCTGGGCGATACGATAGCATTCTTGAGCAGTGCGTTGTTCGCCTCGGAGGCTGAATATTCCCCATGGGGTAGGGAACTTGATCACTTGATAGAGACTTGACGGGATGGCCCTCATGGCGTGTATCCACGGTTGTCCTATGATGGCGTTGTAAGTTGTATCCTGGTCCATGATATGAAAAGTTGTTTCCAAGGTGACTCCCCCGGCTAAAACAGGTAGCACTATTTCTCTAGAAGATCGCTCGACTGCATTATTAAAACCCATTAGTGTTATACAACGCGTTATTATCTTATCCTCGAGCCTCATCTGTACGAGGACCCGGGGATGGATAATACGCGCGCCGCTTCTGTCATCCACCATTATTCTTTTTACATCAGTATCCGAAATACGTAGAGTAATAACAAGAGCATCGTAATGAAGGAAAGTCAAACCATCAATATCTGACTTGTCGGGTGATACTATCTTCGAGGTCATCGTACCGTTCATGAGTGATCGACCGCTTGAGTTTGTGTGTGGTGGTGAATTTCACATGGTTGATTGCTGCCCCGTCGCCTCCACGATGATCATTTGGATAGTGCGGGCGAGAGAGGGGGGCTTTGGAGGTCCCTGGGGTTGTTCGCGTCCACGGGCAAAGTTGGCCCGCCCTCGGTCGCTCATTAACTCTTTCAGGTGTCCCTGGTTCAGCATTTTCACAACCTCCTGCCGCAGACCTATGCAGTCTTCGGTCTTATGTCCCCGCTCCTGGTGAAATTCATAGAGAGCGTTCAATTTCCGAGTGTTCGGATCGGATTTCATCTTTTGCGGCCATTGTACCTTCTTGCCGAGCTTCTCCAGTGCGTACACTATTTCTGAAGGGGAAACACAAAAATTGTGAGCAGATAATAGTTGAGGCATATCTCTTTCGTTCTGCTGAGTCCCTGTGTGATGGGGCAGGCGATCCGTGTGATGAGGTGGTGGTAGAGCGGCTGTTCTGATGTAGGGCTGATGTCTTCGGCCGAAACGGGGACCCAATTGATCCCTTCGACCGTCATTATGGCGATCTTTCCTTGATTCTGCTTGAAGTGACGTCAGTCGTTGGATCGGATCGTTGAGGTCGTCCTCGTCGACTCTTACCTTGGCGCAATAGGCATTGTGAATTTCTTCCCAAGTGGTAGGAGGATATTTCTTGAGTCTGCTCAATTGTTTTCTGGTTGCTCTCGATCCGTTCCTGCTCAACCCGTTCTGGAAGACCGCTACCGCCATCCCCTCTGATACATTTGGTAGGCTCATTCTCACCCTGTTAAACCAGGTGAGGAAGTCTCTGAGTCCCTCGCCAGGTGATTGCCTAACGGTGAATATATCGTTCACCCTGACTTCCGCCTTTTTAGCCCATGCTTGAGCGATGACAAACTTGTCTTCCATTTCCTCGAACGTTGCTATCGACCGCGGCGGCAATTGTGAGTACCAGGTTAGGGCTCCCCCTGTTAGGGTTTCGCCGAATTTTTTCAGTAGTACTGACGGTACTTGCTCCTTCGAAAGGTCATTGCCCTTTACTGCTGTGGCGTAATGAACGATGTGATCCTCTAGGTCTGTAGTGCCATCGTATATCTTCAGATACGGTGGCATTTTGAAGGTTTTTGGAATGGCATGGGGTGCTGCTCCTTCGCTATACGGCTGTTCGACGAATCGACCAGCGTCTCGTTTCGATAATAACTTTGGGGCATCTGGTATTTTATCGACCCTTTCTTGATGCTCCTTCATCCTTGTTTTTGTTTTCCATTTCTTCCATTTTCTTCCGAATGGCTGTGAGTGCGTCATTACCTGCATCATCAGTGGCGTGAGTGTTACCTGTTTGGGGGGCCTCTTGTTCACCAGTGGTGGTTATGATATCTACGTGTGTGGTATCCCTGTTCTCCCTTTGGACTGGTTTATCGAGTATGTTGTTCAGAGTGCTTGTTAGCCACTCTTCCAGTAGTCTTTTTATTGCTGGTGGTGCTTCCTCTGTTGTTGACGTGGAGGCACCCTTTTCGCGTGAAGTAGTTATGCTTTCGCGGCTGGAGGGGGGGGGGGGGGAAGCACTCCGCTTGGGTGTGGCATTCGGTGTCGCGTTTTCATTGTTTTCTCTGCCATCTTCATTGATGGTGTTCAAGATGTTGGTAGTGAGACCTGCTATCGTCTTCAACCTCGCATCTTCTTTTCCTGCCATTGTTTGTGGTGCAAACGAGGAAGAGATGTGCTTTTTTCTTTATGATTCAGAAAGAATTATAGCTTCAACTAGAAACCTCACCACAGACGGCGCCAAATTGTTTGAGCAAATAATTGCTAAACCAATCAATAACAAAATAACGGGGTGAATCTTAGTTGAGCTTAATAAATCCTAGATCAAACAAAACGAAAGTCTAATACAACGAGAAGAATTTAGTAAGGCTGACCGGTGAACTTAATGATAGTGTATATAATATCATAAATGCGCAACGAATGCAAGAAACGTCAATGGTTATAATGAGAAGGAAGCGTCACCCAATGATTATGTGATTCTTCCTTTTGTCGACACAAAAAGGGTCTGCAGCTGATATGAATGAGAATCTAAAGATTTATGGATGAAGGTTAAACAACATGTGCTTAGATAAAGTGAATAAGATAATTCTTTCTTATATTCCCTCTCTTTTCTCACAATGTGTTCTTCGAAAAAGGCAAATCCCCTTCTTGTTTACTATCTCCTCCTATTTATAAGGGACATTTGCCAATAAACCCTAAAAAGTACAACATAAAGAATATCCAACATGCATATTCTTCCTGTCCTTTCTAAGTTTAAATTACCGATACTATCTTATTTCGGGCAGTGGTTGCCAAATTTGGACCAATACATGTACCTCTACAAATGAAATAGACGGTTCAAATATATATATA